ACTTGTAGGGGATTTAATCCCCCTCCATTCCCTGTCAACCGAACAAGGCCTTAGATGGGATGGGATGGATTGGTGGCATATAAGACCCATCTTTGATTTGGATGATCAAGACTGTGTGGAAATGGAAAGGAGAATTGGGTATGGATAAGTCTTTCAAGTAGTATAACTGTATTAGCACTAGCCAGAACTGCTTATCTTTTGCGCACCACTAGGCAAAACGAGGAGCATCCGTCGTCTTTCTAATCCCATGTTCTGAACTTGTGCATTTGTTTTGCGGGGCAGCTCATAATAGCATTTCCGTGTATGTGCTTTGCCCGTTTTATTGAATTGCTCGGGACATGACAAATTGACAGATGAGTAGGAGGTTCTTTGGAGGATGTTATCTGTCTGAGTAAAGAATTGCGAGCCGTGGCCCAACATGGTTCCTTCCTGCTTTATGTCGTTTTTATTTTATGTTGCTTCATGATTTGTAATCGTAAAAAAATTCATAATGAAATCCATGTTTGCACATGTGTAGAACAAGTTCCTTAGTATACAAGAGTATATGTGGATATTTATGGTTATTGATTAGATATGAACAACATTATATGCTTATATGTAGTTGTAGCAAACTATCCGCCTCTGTTTTGCATATATTCCCCTGCTCATGTTTTAAATCTGATGGCCTTCAATTTGTTGTGTCTTGCAGAGAGTTTGTCATCATGCACAGCCCCAGTAAGCGGTTGATTACCTCTGTGTCCAAACGCCTTGCCGTGTCCAATCTCCAAGGCTGGGCAGACCTCCCAGATGACCTGCTGCACTCAATTGTTGCTCTCTTGGGCTCCTCCATTGACCTTCTTGCCTTTGCTGCCACCTGCCGCCCTTGGCGTGCCGCTTTCTTCTCACACCCATCCAAATCTACCTTGTGCTTCTCATGCCCCCCTGTCCTCATCCGAAAAAACCCCATCCAACCTCCTAGCAATGGTCATGCCAAGCCACAAAGATTTAACTTAGTTGATCCATCCAACACAGGCACCAACTATCGCTGCCAGATACGTGAAGAAATTCTGCAGAAATTTTATTTTGCTGGTTCTTCCTATGGTCAGCTCATCTTCTTCCGCCACAGACGTTGCCTTGTTGTTGATGCATTTAGTGGTGCAGAAGTTTCACCTCCATGTCTCCCTGAGTTGAACCACAATGTTTTTGAGCCGTACTATTGTAGCACTCTGACTGCTCCCCTTGCATCACCCAGCTCACGCCTCCTTGTCAGTACAAAATCCTCCCTATTTGACTGGCCAGTTGGAAGTGACTCTTGGTCTGAACTCAAGCTTTCCAATGTGCAAGTACGGCAGATTGTGGAATTAAATGGTCAGTTCATTGCCATGGATGATCATATGAAGATCTACACTTTGCAGTTGGCGCCCCAGCTTGGCCTGCAAGACCTACCAATAGAGTGGTGTGGCGGCAAGATCCCAAGCATGGATTCGAAACCATTTCTAGTGGTCTGCCGCGACATGCTTCTGATGGTCTGCTATTCTCTGGTATCCCTACTCCAGGGATCAAGCTTCTGTACACTCCACCGCCTTGACATGTCTACCAATCCTGCAAAATGGGTAGAGATGAAGAAGCTGGACAATTGGGCACTCTTCGTTGCAGCTGACATTAGGACCCCACCATTTTCTTGCGTCAACCCAGAACGGTGGGGAGGGAGAACCAACTGCTTGTACTACACTCACCACTCTGAACCTTGGGGTGTACGATGGTTGGGCAATGAGCCGGATCTTACGAAGGATCCATCCGCCAGTCGGGACCTTGTGTTCGGAAGAAATATGTGGCGTTACCCACAGAGCCTCTGGGTGTACCCCAGCATGTTTTACTCTGATGGGAAGTGATCGTTGTCGTGGGCAACTACAAACCTACTGCTGTACCAGTTTCTTCTGAAGATTCTCCCCTTCTCAACAGGGGCAAATACTTTTGCGGCTTGATACGGGGATGCTGATCAGCATGAGCACTGGAAGTTTTTGCAGTTTTTTTTTTTTTTCAGTTTCTCTGAACCTGGTACCAGATATTTATGGCGGTACTTCTGCAATTACTTTCATCATCCAGTTTTTAGCCATGCTTATGAAATTGCTGTCCATGGTGACACGGTTTGAGCGTTTCTCCTGTTTGAATGAGGTGAAGACATTTCTCGTCTTGCAGGATAATGTGTTGGCAGCATACAGCCTGCTTTGGATCATCAGGCACCAGCTTTGCTTCTGCATCAATTTTTTCTTGGGCTTGAGAAGTGAATGTTTTGCTTCTGCAACAATTGTACACCCTGAGTATATAAGAAACAAAATCGGGTGTACAATCTCTGCTAGCCCCAATCTCCGCGTACGCGTGTCGCGGCTGTGGGAGTAGTCGCTGGCTTCCCAAGCAAAGCAAGCATCATCATGGACAGCCATGGAACGGTACTACTACGCGGCAAGACACCAGCAACAGGTTTGCCTCTGTTGTTGGCATCTAACTAAGGCGGCATTTACACGGCCAGATGGTCGCAACAGGTCATCAGGACTGATCTGTAACCCTGCCCACGCAACAACCGCGATTCATGAGCCCTTAATACAGTACTTTCCTCTGGGCACTATATACATTGTTCAATCCTTTAATTGCCGTGAGGTTAGTAGCAGACAGTTTAGGAGGAGAATTTAAGCAAGAGCTGTCCGTGATTCAGTCACTCTTCAGTGCACTCCAGTACTCCACTGACAACCAGGATGCCGTGCCGTGCTGTATACACGGTTCTAGTACTTGACATCCCTCCGTTTCATAATTTTAGTTCAGATTCGAACTAAAACCATGACAAGGTTTGAACTAAAACCGCGACAAGAATCATGGGGCGAGGGATGGAGGATTTGGTTGTTCATTTTCAGGTAGCTGCCAAGTGAACCGATGCTCAGTAGTCAGTAGTACACTTTCTTTTTGGGTCTGAATTAACCGATGTGCTCACACCTAGCTCACTTGCTAGTTGCTTTGAACTGACTTGGATGGCCATCACAATCACATGGGCGGGTCGGTCGACAGTGCCGGTAGCACCGTACGTACGCTTGGTAAGCAGCACTGCTGGTACTACTAAATACACCACACAATACCAGCACTACTTACGTCTCCAGTTGGCAAAAGTGTTAGGCAGAGAACACGGACTTAACTCCGCGTATTGTATTGCTGCAGCTGCATGGCATGGCGATCACAACAGAGCAGAGCTGCTGCTGCTGCTCCTTCTTCTCCGAGACGGGCTGAGCATTGCATTCAAGCGGAAAGGTTGGCGCGCGCGGGGGCTCGGGTTTAATCGCCCGCGCTGCCGCCTGACACCACCTCATGCTCACAACTGTCTCCAATTACTCGGGCATTCATACGGCTTAAAGGAGGAATTGATCGCCCTTCCCCTCCCCTTACAATGGTCTCTGGCTAACCTCCCGGCAGCATTTTTCTTCTCCTCCTCGCCGCGCCGTCCTTCACCGATCACCGTCCGTCGGTGTCGCCGGGAGGTTTTCATGGTCGAAACGTGGGGGACAGCTCAGAAGGGTGATGGTGTTGCCAACGTGACGCGTAGTTTAATCGTGTTTCTTAGGGGGGCTAGGGGGGATGCAAGTAGTAGTGTAGTAACACGGAGTTCCACTTGCGCTGGAAAATTGGCGTGTGCATGTGCAGGACTGAGGCGTGGAGCAATTAGAGGAGCCCGAGTTTGACAGGGGTTCGAGAAAGAAAATATTATGGTGGATTTCAACAGATCTGCTAGTTTTTTGGCACTAGGTTTTGTACTCCCTAAAAGGTTGACATTTTCTTTGGAAAGAGTAAATTTGTTAAATGCTACCTCCTCCATCCCAAAATAAGTGTCTTAACTCTAGTACGATTTTGTACTAATGCTAAAGTTAGTACAAATTTGAGACACCTATTTTGATACGAAGAGACTAAATGCTAACGAATTGACGTCGGATTTTTAGGGAGTTTGTTAGAGTGAGTTTTCTCTATTTTGATAATTTCTTGGAGGGTGTTGGGTCTAGGAATCTGCTAGAGTTGCTCTTAGTCTTAACTCTTAACGTGTGGCGTTTTTTCATCATGAAGCCTAATTATGGGTGTAAGATGGCCTCAATTCGATGCTCTTTTCTTGACAGTTTGCTTCAAACATTATACTTTCTTGGCTTAAAAAAATCCAATGTTTGTGAGCCTGAAGGTAAACTTTGTAGGGTTTATATAATATAAACCTCAAGGAAGGCACCGAGGTTTTAAACCCTGCAAACAAGATATTGTGGAAGCTTTAATGACGAACCAATTCATTCAAAGAAACCAGTGAACCACCGCAACTCAATGCACAATGTTCATCTATACATTTGGCCAATCACCCTAGTACATTGTTCCAGCATATTTATGCCGATATGACAGGACAAGGGACAGGAGCATTACTTCCATTCAAATGTTCATGACAGAGAAGATTACTTAAATCTTTGCACTGTCGTGCAGTAATTCTCAGCAGACCACCAGATACTCCCTCCGTTTCTATTTAGTCTGCATATTAGATTTGACTGAAGTCAAACTTCATAAAGTTTGACCAACTTTACAGAAAAAATTATAAGCATTTACCATAACAAATCTATATAATGTGTTAGTACATTCAACAATGAATCTAATAGTATTGATTTGTTATTGTATATATTAATATTTTTATTTATAAACTTAGTCAAAGTTTACAAAGCTTGACTTTGACCAAAGCTAATATGCAGACTAAATAAAAACGGAGGGAGTACTTACTAAAATTGCAAAAGACGCGCTAACCACACGAAATTATTACCTAGACCCAACTCCATCGACCGACGGTGCACGCGGCATGGAAGACCAGGTCTATGAAATAATTTCTTTTGATCGGCTCGCGAGCCAACGATTCTCTGTTTAATTAATTCTCTCCGAGAAGTCAATAAAATTAACTCGATCAGGAATGGCGAAGCTAGGAGACGACATGAAGGAACGAGCTGAGGTCGGCGGCGGTTTCACCGGCGCTGGCGCGGGCGGCGCTGCTGCTGGTCGTCGTTGAAGTCGAGCAGCACGGCGCTGTGGCAGCGGGGGCACCGCGGGTCCTCCCGGGACAGCATCACGTACATCATGCACCGCGGGCAGCCCGCCAGGACCATGGGCGCCCCGGCCGCCGCGTCCGGGCTGCCCTCCGACGACACGCACGAGCTCGGCGGCGACGCGGTGGACGACGAAGACGACGACAGCCGCCGCGGGGACGCGCTGACTGCATCATTCCCGCCCCCGCCGCCGCCGCCCGGCCGCGCCGTCGTCGATGACTGCCCGCCGCCGCCGCCCCGCGCCCTCGACAGGCTCAGCCGCAGGCTCTCCAGCTTCGACACCTTGCCGCCGTTCCTGCTCATCCTCGACCACCGCCGCTCGTCTCGCCGCCCCTCTCACTGCACGCAGCTGCACGATGGCGACGGTGACATTGGTGCCTCGAGCTCACAACACACAGAAATGGATAGCTCCACAGGAGTGGAGCTGCCATATATATATTGAGCGCGGCGTGGGAGACACATCGCACGAGCCGGCACGACGCGGGCGTTACCTTGGACTTAAAACTCGCCGAAGGGTATGCGCGCGGCGGGGAGGCAGGGAGCGGTGCGCCGACGTGCTGGTGGATTGGAGCTCTCCGCGTGGTTGCGTATAACTATTGCTGGGTACGTGTATTTGTCATGAGCATCTCCCGTAGCTGCGTTATATAATGCGGAGGAGGAGGAGCGTGGTGGTGGTTTTCTTTAATACGGGAACAGCCGCCATTGATGCTCCGGTCAATCTCCTTCAAGCTGAACGATGTGGAGGCTGGATGGAGTCCTCCCGTACTTTCGTCTTTCTGGGAGCATCACTCACTCATCGAGAACATCTACATTAGTGAGATTGATTGTACAAGAATTATTATTTTTATCGAACGCTTGACAATGTAGTTGTACATTTTAAATAATCATGTCAAACTATAGGTCTTAAAATGTTTGTCAACAAAATATACTCTCTATGTTTTTATTTTTTCCGCGTATTAGCTTTGACTAAAGTCAAACTTTATAAAATTTGACCAAGTTTATAGAAAACAATGTGGACATTTACAGTAACAAACTTATATGATGTGAAAATATATGCAATGATGTATCCAATGGCATTGATTTGGTGGTGCAAGTGTTAATATATTTTTCTACAAACTTGTTGAAAATATATAAAGTTTGACTTTAGACGAATCTAATATGTGGAGTAAATAAAAATGGAGGAGTACATCAGTAGATTTAATGTTGTGCAACTTTCCCCGCAAAAAAAGGACGATATGCGACTTGGCCAGTAAATAACAATATCAAAATCACTCAGAAGATATCAAATATGCAAAAATAAAAATACATCCACTTTTTATTGACCTTTATATTTGCATCAAATTGTTCTCTTTTGGCATGGTGTATCCTATATAATTAAGTAGGCGATCGTCACTGGGCTATTTTTTCTAAACATGCAAATATGCCACCTCAGCATGCAACTATGTATGATACAGTTATATAATAATCTAATAGAAATAAATTATATGTACCGTGTTAAAAAATATATGCATGTTTAGTTTACTCATCCTATTATTAATTTAAAATATGCATGTTTCATAACACCAAATCTCATATAAATATAGATAATCCTAGATAGCAAAACTATGTATAATGGGTTGGTCACCCCATATGACTGGTAAGACCAAAAGAGGTTTGTATCAATATATGAACAATGGTTAATAAAGAAGGACGTGTCTAGCGGGCGGCCGTTGGCCCGC